TAAAATAATATTAATATGAATTTTTTCTCACGAGAGGAGACTACAGTAATGAAATCTTTGATATTTATTGAAGTTATTAGAATCTAAATGAGATAAAAATCAAATGAGTTAAACATTTTTTTTAACTCAAAAAGAATTAAAAAAAAATTCAGTGCCACAGTCGTGAAAGATCCAAGTGTTACCGTCTCAAAAACCGTACGTCTTATTCGTCACTTAATAAATCATGAAATTCAATATATTCTCCTAATAAGATATTTTAAAATAAAATAAAATACAAAATCTAGAATTTTAATAGAAAATTGCATATTTTTGAATACGGTAGCCGTTTTCGCATAGAAGATAGGTCGTCAGAACAAATTTTTTTTTTTTTTATAATACATAAAATAAGCTTTAATTTGATGTATGTTNTTTTTTTTTTTCATTTTATAGTACATAAAATAAGCTTTAATTTGATGTATGTTTAAAGGACGCAGTATTTCCGGAACATTTTCAAAAATTAAGTTGAAAAAGTTAGTTTTTGTAAAAAAGAATGATATCAAATGAAAGGGAAATATCTAAGGTTTTAATATAAAAATAAATTATGTTGATTTGTTTATTTTTGAAAAAGTTATGGAAGTTTTAAGAAAAAAAAGTGAAAAAAAAGACAAAATTTACCAATTTTTAAATTTGTAATTTTTTTGGATATTTCCCCCATTTGCGGGGAACGAGGGAAAATTTTTCAATTTTTAAGGATAATGTCTTCAACTAGATACGATTTGTGATCTTTTGACGTATTGTTGAAAGAAATCCGTTTGGTGAGAGCTGAGAAAAAGTGGCAACAGACAAAAAAAAAAAAACACATCATGGTAAAATTAATACCTTCTCAGCTTCGCATCGAAGCTAAAATATTTAAATATTTTATTAAGAAGATATTAATTTCACGTATAGAAACTTCGTACACAAATGAGCTGTATAACTCTTAAACGAGTAGATGACTACTACTGGCATGTCACCTCAGGCGATGGCAGCTGTAGGCCCTATGCATTGATAAGAGCTGAGCCAGTATCGAATGTTCTAGATGCTTGCCTGGTTAATACTTTATATACAAGGTAAAGGAGATTCTATTCCTACGATTAATATATACTATTAAATTTTATTTTGTGAATAGTTTAGTAGGTTATGAAAAGCAAATCACACTAAANTCGTCACTTTCACTAGCTGACTATCGTCATTTTTCGTTATGCCGAGCACGTTACAAATTCCTCTCAAAGAAATGTCACCGCGAGTATCTTGCTCACTCTGAATCTAATCTAAAACTAAATCCTCGAGCATTTTGGAAGTTTGTGCGTAAGCATTATTCTTCCAAAAATATTCCTTGTAATTTAGTCTATGACGGCTCCAATAGCACACGCCCTATAGAAACGGCAAATCTCTTCTCCAGATACTTTTCTTCTGTTTATACACCAGTTTCGATCACTTCCTCCACTAATCCTTCTCACTTACAGTTTCCTCTTCCTTCAATCGTCCATGTGTCCGTTATTGAGTTACACAAATCATTTACCATTCTCCATAACAGCAAATCTCTCGGACCTGACGGCATTCAGGGCGATTATTTATTTAGATTACGGGACGTAATTACCTGGCCCCTCTCTCTTATCTTTAATAAATCCCTGAGTTCTGGGATGTTTCCTTCTTCTTTAAAACTTGGCTCTATAACTCCTATTCTCAAATCTGGCGATCCAACTCATGTTCTTAACTATCGTCCTATTACCATTCTTCCTCATATCTCCAAATTATTCGAAACTGTTGTCCTAAATACTATTCGACCTTCCTTGAATCATATACTTATACCTGAACAACATGGCTTCCGTCCAAACCGCTCTACTCTAACATGCAACCTCACCTTTACCTCGTATATTTTTGAATCCTTCCGCCTTCATAGCCAAGTTGATGTGATCTACACTGATTTCGCTAAGGCGTTTGATCGTGTTAATCATTCCCTACTAATAAATGTTTTAGATCAACAAGGTATTGGTGAACCTCTACTCTCCTGGTTTCGTTCCTATTTACTGGATCGACCCCAGTTTGTGTCTGTCCACGGTGTTTTTTCTGAACTTTTTTATCCTTC